TCTTGAATTTTTTGAGGCTTGTTTTGTGTCCTGTCATGTGGTCTATCTTTGAAAATGTTCCATGGGCAATTGGAAAGAATGTGTATTTTGCTTCTTCAGGTTGAAATGTTCTATATATATCAGTTAAGTCCCTTTGATCTAATGCATCGTTTAGTTCCACAATATCCTTGTTGATGTTGTGTTTGGAAGATATATCCATTGTTGTCAGTGGCATGTTAAAGTCCCCTGCTATCAGCATGTTACTCTCTATATCTTTCTTGAAGTTATCCACAATTTTCCTGATATATTTCAGTGCTCCTATCTTGTGTGCATATAGATTTACAATGCTTACGTTTTCTTAATGGAGTCTTCCTTTGAGTATTATGAGGTGTCCTTTTGTGTCACTTTTTATACCCTTCGTTTAGAAATCAATTTTGTCTGATATAAATATTGCTACCCTGAGTTTGTTTTTTTTCCTGCCCAGTTGCTTGGAATATATTTTTCCACCCCTTTACTTTCGGACTGTGTAGGTCCTTTGTCGTAATGTGGGTCTCTTATAGACAGTGTATGTGCAAGTCATGCCTTCTAATCTCTTCAGCTAACCTATGTCTTTTGATTGGGCATTTAATTCATTTACATTTAAAATTATTATTGTTAGGCACTTACTCATTTTTTCCCTTTGTATCTGTGTTCCTCTCTTTCTCACTCTTTTTCTTCATCTCCTTAAAGCAGTGCCTTTAACATATCTTGCAGTGTTAGTTTGGTGGAGGAATATTCTTTTAGCCTTCTTTCGTCTGGGAAACTCCTTATTTTGCCTGCCATTTGAATTTAGAGCCTTGCTGGGTAGAGTAGTCCTGGTTGCAAGTCTTTGCTTTTCATTACGTGGAATTTTTCTTGCCATTCCCTTCTGGCTTGTAGTGTTTCAGTTGAGAAGTCAACTACCACCCTTATCGGGGATCCCTTGTATGTTATTACCTGTAGCTCCCTTGCTACCTTTGAGATTCTCTGCATTTGATATTTGCCATTTTAATGGTGATGTGTCTTTAAGTGGGTCTCATTGGGTTCCTCTTGAATGGGACCCTCTGTGATTCTGGACTTTTGTGTCTTTTCTTTCCTGACATTAGGATAGTTTTCCATCATTACTTTTTCAAACAGTTTCTGTATCCCTTCCTCCCCTTCTTCCCCTTCTGGTATCCCTATTATATGTATATTATTACGTTTCAGGTTTTTCTGCATTTCCCTCAATGCCTCTTCATTCTTTTTGAGTCTTCTTTCATTTTCTTGCTCTTTCTGGGAACTTTTTTCTACTTTGTCCTCTGCCTCACTGATTCAGTCCTGTCTTTAAACTGGCCTGCTTTTGATTCCTTCGTTTCGTAAATTGTATTCTTAATTTCCTCTTGCCTTTTGTTGATAGTTTCTATGTCCTTCTTCATGCTCATATACTTTGCAGTAAGTTCCTCGTAGTTTCCCTTTAGTTTTTGGTAATTCTCTCTGAGCTCACTGAGCTTACTGAGTTTCCTTGGAACCATTGTTTTGAACTTAATATCTGATAGTTTACTTGCCTGAATTTGACTTAGTTCTCTTTTGGGGGATTCTTCCTTTCCCTTCAATTGGGGCGTTTTTCTTTGTTTCCCATTATTTTAAGATTCTTATTTGGTCCTCTTTCTTAAATTGATATGTCTTAACTTCCTGAGTTTGTGGTGTGAACTTTCAAGGTAGGAGACCTATGAGATTCAGTGGTGCAGTCTCCTTGATCTCCTGAATTTGCTGCTCTTTCGATGCCTTTTATGCCATTTATTATTAGTTCTCTGGAAGAAATTGGGTTTTCATTGTTGTTTGGTCATTATTTGGTTGGTTCTGTCCTCCACTTGGTTGACGGAGGGTAACTCAGCACACCACATTTTCTGTATTTTTGGACAGTAGCAGCCAGAACAAGAGCACAAAGCCCAGAAAACAAACACATCCTCAAAAATGACTCTCCCCTGCAATCCAACTGTGAACAGCAATTGAACTAGTATTAATAAGGCTGTAAAGAGATTAAGATTATTATAAGGAAGGAGAGAAATAAACTATTAGTATAAAAATCTAATAATATGCACAAACTTGATGTACCTGAAATGGACATTAAAAAGCTCTGTAGTATAGAAAATTTCGCAAGTCATGGAGAAGACCTCAGCAGATTTCATCATGGTAGCCCCTAGTATTTACTGTTGTTTCTTCTTTCTGGATCTGCCTCTGATGATGTCAGCTATCATCCCTATCTGTCCTTAGATAGTGTGTTCAAGACTTCCAAGAATCTACTGTCTGTGGCTGTCTCCTTCAGTTGTGAATGTAGTCACTCTGCACTTAGCAGTCAGCCTTAGGCACAATAGGGCGGTGCGGAGTCCCTCCTGAGGGTCAGGCTATTGTTTCCTCTCGTGGTGCAGCCACTGTCATGAGTGGTTGGCCTGACCACGGTGGCTGCAGCCGTATGTGAGATGAGTCAGTACTGGGGTCTCTCTGGCTACTCTCTCCGTTCTCTCCCCAAATCCTCTGTCTCCATTCTCTCCTCAAGTGTCTAAGCCACTCTCCCCCTTCTTTAGCCAGGAATCTACTATTTGTGGCTGCCACCCTGCACTCAGCAGTCAGGCTTAAGCACCATATGGCCAGGGCAGAATCCCTCATGGGGTGTGCCTATTGTTTCCTCTTGTACTGCTGCCGCTCAGGGGAGTAGTCTGCCTGAGCACTATGGCTGCTTCTGTGTGAGGGAGGAGTCAGCAAGAGAATCTTGCTGTCTATTCTGTCAGTCCTCTCCTCAAAGCCTCTGCTCCCAATCTCTCCTCAGGCACCTCTAGCCCACTCTGACCCTGCCTTTGCCAGAACCCAGGTATGTGGCCATAAATAAGAAGTTATCCAGTGGCCCTTTATATGGCTCTTTGTGTCTCCAGCCACCCATCTCTTGCAGAGAGCAACTCTGCTGCTTTTCACAGCTGGCTGCTATCTGTGTACTTTTTGGACTCTGGTGCTGTAGGCTGGGAGTCCCTGCTTATGGTTTAACCCCCACTCTTCTCATAAGGATCCAGCTGGTCGTTTCAATGTCCCACTGGTGTTGCCGCCCATGGGCACCCAGCCAGTCTTCTTGAGTCTCCACCGCACTCCTTACCAGTCAGATTGTGCTAAAGCTGATTCTTCTGTCTGTCCCAGTTTATAAGGCTTCTCTCGCTATTGTTCAATTGTTTGTTCTGAATGATTTCTCCGCAATTTAGTTGTAATTCCAGATTGTCCTGGGTGGAGGTCAGTGTGACTTCCATTCACTCCTCTACCATCTTAAACTATTCGTGTAAATCTGATAGACTGTTTATCTCCATTTTGTTTAGCTCTTTTTCTGGAGTTTTCATCTGTTGTTTCATTTGGGCCTTGTTTCTTTGTCTTCTCATTTTGGCAGCTTCGCTGTGTTTGTTTCTATGTATCAGATACAGCTGCTTTGATTCCATGTCTTCGTAGCATGGCCTAATGTAGTCAGTGTCCTGTCGGGTCCAGTGGCACAGCCTCTCCTATTACCGAAGCTGGGTACTCAAGGTGTGCCCTTCATGTGGACTGAGTACACCCTCCTCTTGTAATTGAGCCTTGGTTCCTGTTGGTAGGTCAATCGAAGGGATTTACCTAGGCGCAGGTAAATGCAAGGATTGGCTATGACCACTGGCCATCAACCTCCATCCTCCATGGATGATCAGCTGTATAAGGGAAGGATGGTGGTGCTCTGATGTGGTCTGTGGCTGTCCACTGGGTGAGCTGGCCCTGGGGTTTCCTGGATTGTGCAGGCAAGGTCTGCCCCACCTGTGTTTTGCTTGGGGCCACCCTGCCTGAGCTATAGAGCAATCGGAGATGGCTGCTACTTTTGCTGGGCTTGGAGATTCCCAGGTGAAGCCAAGCCGTGAATCTAGGGTGGTCTGTTAGTGCTGTGCCTGGGGCCACTTCACAAGAGGAATGGGGACTGGGGCCTCACTGAACCTCTCTGTTGATTGTTGAAAAGATTTAGGAAGTTGTCAAGCATGAGCCAAGACCAGCCATTTGTATGGAAGAGCCACTGTTAACAGCTGTAAGATGAATGGGACAAAGCCTCAGGGGTCTCCAGGGTGGGGCAAACAGTGTTAGCCATGTTGAGATAGTCTCTGATATGGCACCCTCCTCCCAGCTCTTGGCTTTGCACAGTGAGGGTTCACAAAATAGACAGTCACCTCTCCCTACCTTTCTGTCTGGGAAAAAGCTGTCCCCCAGTTCTTGCTTTGATGCCAGACACTTTCAGTTCCTCCCTGTATTCCTCTGGTGCCTTTCAAGCTGCTACCTCAGTGCTGGAACTCAGAAGTAGTGAGTGTGAGTATTTTAGTCCATGTGTGGATTCTTTAAAGAGGAGCTGCTTGGGACTCCAGAAATTTATTCCACCAACTTAATCCCTGCTGATTTTTCAGCCGGAAGTTATGGGGACTTAATCTTCCTGACACTGAAACCCTGGGCTGGGGGACCTGCTGTGGGGATGGGACTCCTCTCTCCTGAGATATCCTTCCCAAATTTTTATCAACTACATGTGGCTGTCAGATGAGCCCATTCTGTGTCTGTGACTTTCCTACCAGTTTATGTGGTTTCTTAAATTCCATAGTTGTCTGGCGTCTACTCAGCTTGATTTCTGATGGTTGTGAGTGATGCTGTTCTTTAATTTAGTTGTAATTTTGATGTGCATGTGCAAGGAGGCAAGCTGTGTTTACATATTCTGCTATCTTGAGGAGAAATTAGGGTGGCATTTAAATTCTTTCTTTTACTGCAGTAGGACCAGATTATGATTTATCATCTGGTACTATAAGGCTATTTCACTGAATTTTAACTTATAAACATTGTTCTCCATGCAAACTGATTTTCCTTTCTTAATTAAATAACTTTCCAATATTACACTACCCAATAATATGCACTATAGGGTACCTATCAGGAAATCTTAGCCATTATATAGAAATAGTAGTGATTTATTGGTCTTTGTTTCTCAATTTCAGGCACTTAGCCTGTGATGAGGAGAGAGTGGAAGAAGCAAAACTGCTGGTGTCCCAGGGAGCAAGTATTTACATTGAGAATAAAGAAGAAAAGACACCCCTGCAAGTGGCCAAAGGTGGTCTGGGTTTAACACTCAAGGGAATGGTGGAAGGTTAAGCAGCTTGGATTAATTTTTACTTCATATATTTTGTTGTTGTCCTTAGTGTCCTGGAAACAAATGTAATTGTACATAAGACATCATCTATTAATATGAAGGTATTTTTCACCTTCAAAGTATTATAAACACTTTGACTATTGTTTCTGCTGAGATATTTGTTCTAAGCTTACAATTTGCTTCCCAGGCATTGAATAATGTTGAGATTGTTCTACTGTTGTATATTCTATATAGAATTTTCGTTAATTTTGAGTAAGTAATTCTGTGGTTTTTTGTGAGACTTTAGCGCTCTCCCATGTACCCTGTGTCCTTCTCTGAGGAAGAATAACCCCATAGCCTCAGGCCAGTTCTGCCAAATGTTTTTAGGTAAATTCTAGAATGTTCCTTTTGTATAATTGAAACACATCCTAACTTGTTTCTTAAGCTCACTCAGGCCTATACCAAAAATTTCTGTTTTTTCAACAGTATGTTTAATTTGTTTTTGTTACAGGAGTAATACTTATATATTTTAGAGGACCAAATTCTCAGTTGCAAAGCCTGCTATTCCAAGATTGGCATTCAAAAGCACTAAAATAATGACAAGTTATACCCTATGTACCCATGTATCTTTTTAATAAGATATTTTCTTCGATAAAGTGTCATTTTTAAAAAGGAAGTTTTGAAGTACTTGTATTGTCATCCTGTATTAAAAAGAATATAAAGCTTGTTAACATGCTATGTTATAAAAATGTAATTCGATTTGTATTTCAGAAACTAAAAAAATAAAGTGTAGAGAGAGAAATTCTGCCCTTTTTTCTTTCAAGTCAGTTAAAAACCCACAAAAGACTGAAAGCCCTTCCTAAAGATATTTCTCACATTTTGGAAGTTCTAAAGCCAATATAATTAATGAAGTTTGGACTGAAGGTAAAATCTTTTAAAAATACTAATTTTATGAATTGCTAATTAAGTGTGAGCCAAAGGAAATTAATAAGAGTAAACTTGATCTCAATTTAGAGAAATACTCTTAAGTGATTACTAATCATAAAATCTAATGACCTCCAAGTAACTATATTATTTTTTTAATTTGAATTTTATTTTGCAAATAATGCTTAAAGTAAGTAAGCCCACAACTTAGATTAATTTGGGGTCAGGGATTTAATAACCAGTAGCTAAAATGAATGTTGTAAACACAAACTGTGTTCTGATTTTCCAACTCTTTTTAAATAAATATTATGAATGCTTATCTTTACAAATATTAATCAGGGAAGCATTTTCTTAATGGAACTAAACATTGTGTTTATTGAACATGAAGGATAGAATTGATGATAAAGGAAATAATTTCCAATATTTTTTAGCATGATTGAAGTTGTACCTAATATAGCCTGTTAGGACTGAAGGAGTATACTCTTCATAAATATTGAATTCATTGTGTGAGGTCAAAGAAAACTGGTCCTACAGTTGCACAGAAGAACTTTACAAAATATTTAAGGAAAAGCTAACCCCTGTCCTTCTCAGACTAATCTAAAAAATCCAAGAAGAGGAAAGACGCCAAAACCAGATAATCCGAAAACCAGATAAAGACACAACAAAGAAAGAAAACTACAGACCAATATCACAGATGAACATACATGCCAAAATCAGCAACAAAATATTGGCATCCAGCAATTCATTAAAAAGATCATCCACCGTGATCAAGTGGGACTCATCCCAGGGGTGCAAGGATGGTTCAATATTTACAAATCAATAAACATAATATTTCACATAAACAAAATGAAAGACAAAATTCTCATGATCATATCAATAAATGCATAAAAAACATTTGATAAGTACAGCACCTATTATGATAAAAACACTCAGCAAAGTGGGAGTAATGGGGGCATACTTCAATATAATAAAGGTCATAGGAAAAACCTACATCCAACAGCATACCAAACGGGCAAAAAATAAAAGCTTTCCGCTAAGATCAGGATCAAGACAAGGGTGTCCGCTATCACTATTTCTGTTCAACATGGTATTGGACATCCTAGCCACAGGGATCAAAAAAGAAAATAAAAGGCATCCAAATTGTAAAGGAGGAACTAAAACTGTCATTGTTTGCAGATGACATGATAGTGTACATAGAAAACCCCATAGACTCCACCAAGAAACAACTTGTCCTAGTAAGTGAACTTGGCAAAACAGCAGGATAGAAAGTCAATACTCAGGAATTGAAGGCATTTTTGTACACTAACAATGAAATATCAGAATCAGAAATCAGGAAAAAAGATCCCATTTGCTATAGCAACAACAAAAAAAGTACCTAGGGATAAACTTAACCAAGGAGGTAAAAGACCTGTACTCACAAAACTACACAACACTGAAGAAAGAAATTCAGGAAGAAACAAATAAATGGAAGAATATACCATGTTCATGGATTGGAAGAATTAACATCATCAAAGTGTCCATAATACCCAAAACAATTTATAGATTCAACGCAATCCCCATTAAAATACCAATGACGTATTTCACAGATATAGAACAAACATTTCAAAAACGTATATGGAAACATAAACGACCCCAAATAGCTGTAGCAATTCTGAGAAAGAAGAACACAGAAGGAAGTATCACAATACCTGACATCAAACTACATTACAAGGCCACTGAAATCAAAAGTCTGGTACTGACATAAAAGAGACACATAAACCAATGGAAGAGAATAGAGAGCCCAGAAATAAACCCGTCTCTATGGTCAATTAATATTTGACAAAGCAGGCAGAAGCATAAAATGGAGTAAAAATAGCCTCTTCAACCAATGGTATTGGGAGAGCTGGACAGCTACATGCAAAAAACTGAAGTTCAACCACCAACTTATACCATACACAAAAATAAACTCAAGATGGATGAAAGACTAAAATATAAGTTGTGACACCATAAAAGTCCTAGAGGAGAACATAGGCAGGAAACTCTCAGATGTTCCGCGGAGCAATATTTTCACCGATATGTCCCCTGGAGCAAGGGACATGAAAGAATAAACAAATGGGACTTCATCAAAATAAGAAGCTTCTGCATGTCTAAAGAAAACATCAGAAGATTGAAAAGGGAATCAACTGTATGGGAAAATATATTTGCCAATGATACCTCCGACAAAGGCTTCATATCCAAAATATATAAAGAACTCACGCAAGTCCACTCCAGGAAGACAAACAAACCAATTGAAAAATGGGCACAGGACCTGAACAGACACTTCTCCAACAGGGCCCAGAGACACATGAAAGGATGCTAAGCATCAGTAGCCATCAGAGAAATGCAAATTAAAAGCACAATGAGATACCACTGCAAACCGGTCAGAACAGGCATAATAAACAGATCAACAGAGAACAAGTGCTGGCAAGGTCATGGAGAAAAGAGAACCCTAGCACCCTGTTGCTGGGAATGCAGACTGGTGCAGCCGCTGTGGAAAACAGTTTGGAATTTCCTCAAAAAGCTAAAAATGGAACTGCCTTTTGACCCAGCAATCCCACTGCTCGGATTATACCCTAAGAATCCCAAAACACCAATTCAAAAGAACCTCTGCACCCCAATGTTCATAGCAGCGCTATTTACAATAACCAAGTGCTGGAAGCAGCCTAAGTGTCCATCAATAAGTGAGTGTATCAAAAAAGTGTGGTGACTGTACAGCATGGAACACTACGCAGCAGAAAGGAAGAGGTACTACCCTTCGTGACAGCATGGATGGAACTGGAGAGCATTATGCTACGTGAAATAAGCCAAGCGGTGAAAGACAAATACCATATGATCTCACCTATAAGTGGAACCTAGTCAACAAAACAAACAAGCTAGAAAAATATAACCAGCAACACTGAAAGGAAAAACCAACAGACAGTAACGAGAGGGGAGGCGGGAGGGGGCTAATGGGGGAAAAGAAGGGGAAGGGTCAAGTCAAGGAACATGTATAAAGGACCCATGGACAAATTCAAAGTGGGGAAGGACTGAGGGTGGGAGGTGGCAGTGGGTAGGGCTGTGGGAAGTGGTGATGGTAAAATGGAGATAAATGTATTTAACAATAAATATTAATTAATTAATTAATTAAAACTCTTCCTAGTTCTTTAATAAGCAATATACATGGCATTACTGACATTTTATTTTTTATTTTCACTTTATTGATTGTGCACTTACAGTGGTCCCAATTTTTCCCCGTTTACCCCCCTCCATTCAGCACACCCCACTCCCTTTTGCAATTCCCACACCATTGTTCATGTCCATTGGTCATGCATCTAAGTTCTTTGGCTGCTTCATTTCCTATACTCTAAGTTACATCCCCATGGCTATTCTGTAACTACCTATTTGTACTTAATCCCCTCACCTTTCCACCCATTCCCCTATATCCTCCACCCATCTGGCAACCATCAAAACACTCCCCTTGTCCATGATTCTGCTTCTGTTCTTGTTTGCTCAGTTTTTTTTTTTTTTAGATTCAGTTGTTGATATGTATTTATTGACATTTTATTGTTCATAGTTTCTTCTCATCTTAAGTAATCCCCTTTATAATTTCATATATTAATGGTTTGGTGATGATGAACTCCTTTCTTTTTTTCTTGTCTGGGAAGCTCTGTTTCTGCCCTTTGATTCTGTATGATAGTTTTACTGGGTAGACCAATTTTGGCTGCAGTTCCCTGCTTTTCATGACTTTGAATATTTCTTGCTTGTCTCTTCTAGCCTGCCAAGTTTCTTTTGAGATATCAGCTGACAGTCTTGTGGGAACTCCCCTGTAGGTAACTAACTTCTGTTCTCTTGCTGCTTTTAAGATTCTCTCTTTTTCTTTAACTTTTGGCGTTTTAATTATGATGTGCCTTTGAGGGGTCCTCTTTGCATCCATCTTGTTTTGGACTCTGCTTCCTGGATTTGCATGGGTATTCCCTTCACCAAATTTGGGAAGTTTTCTTTCATTATTTTTTCAAATAGATTTCCAATTTCTTGTTCTTTCTCTTCTCCTTCTTGCAAGTCTATCCTGCAAATGTTGAGATACTTGAAACTGTCCCAGAGGCTGCTGACACTATCCTCATGTATTTGGATTCTTTTTTCTTCTTGTTGTTCTGATTAGTTGTTTTTTGCTTCTTTATGTTCCAAGTCATTGATTTGATTCTTGACTTTATTCACTCTACTGTTGTTTCTTTGTAAATTGTTATTTACTTCAATTAGTGTATCCTTCATTTCTGACTGGATCCTTTTTATCCTGTTGAGGTCCTTAGCATCCTTACGCTAAGTTCCTTGAGCATCCTTATAAACACTGTATTGAACTCTGCATCTGCCAGATTGTTTATCTCCATTTCATTTCATTCATTTTCTGGAGTTTTGATCTCTCCTTTCATTTGGGCCATGTTTTTCTTTGTCTCTTCATTTTGGCAACACCCGCCCCCTTGTGTTTCTTTATAGGTATTATGTAGTGCTGCTATTACTCCCTCTCTTGGTACTATGGCCTAATATAGTAAATGACCTGTAGGGTCTAGTTGCACAGCCTCCCCTATCACCCAAGCTGGGTACCTGAGGTGCATCCTTTTTATGGGCTGAGTACACCCTCCTCTTGTACTTGAGACTTTGTTGCTATTGGCAGATCAATGGGAGGGATTTGCCTAGGTTAGTATTTTGCAAGCATTGGCTGTGACCACTGACCACCTATCCCCACCCTCCATGATCAGTTGTGTAAGGGAAGGGTGGTGGTGCTCCAATGTCTGTAAGATGACCACTGGGTGCCCAGGCCTGGAGGTTTCCCGGATTGTGCAGGCCAAAGTTAGCCTACACCTGTGTTTTGCCTGGGGCCACCCAACCTGAGCTATAATGCAATCTGAGATGGTGCTTGGAGATTCCCAAGTGAAGTAAAGCTGGGAATCTAGGCTTTTTTCTGCTAGTGCTGTCCCTGGGGCCACTTTATGAGAGGTAAAGGGACTAGGGAATTACTGAGGTCAGTTGTTCCTTGTTTGAAAGGATTTAGGAAGTCGTGAAGCATGA